CCCGGGCGTTCAGTGAGGCGCTGGTACGACCTGTTAAAATCAAGTGGACACGTCATTTCCGGTGGTCAAGTGAAGACGAAAAAGCACGCACCTGAACTGGCGGACTTCATATCCAGCTACGTCAAAGATCATCCGACATTCTACATTGAGGAACTACAGTGTGAATTACGGAGTCGGTTCAGTGAGCTAAGAGGTGAAATGAGCGCTTCGACGATTCTGCGTGTGCTACGATTTGAGCTGGGGTTATCACGGAAAGTGCTAGAGCGGCGAGCACGAGACACAGTACCGTTGCAGATAGAGGCTTTCGTGGCAAAGCTTCGGCGTTGGTATAGCTACTTCGAGCAACTCTTGTTTTTTGATGAAACAAAAAAAGGGCTGGATGCCATGAGGCGGTATGCGTGGTCGAAGAAGGGCACTCGAGCTATCGTCCGTGTTCCATTTGCGCGAGGGTCACATGTTTCGATTCTTGCTGCATGTGACGTGAAATAATTTCGGGCGTGGACAACTACACGGGGTACATTCAGCCGACTGAAATTTCACCGTGCGTTCATCCGCCATTTCGTCCAGCAGCTCAACCCCTGGTCTCTTCCCCGCTCTATTGTCATTTTTGGCAACGCCCGTATCCACATGTACAGCGAACTCGAAGAAGCCGTTCACGCGTGCGGTGCAGTGTTATTGTTTCTACCACCATACTGCCCGCAGTACAACCCAAGTGAAGGGATATTTGGACAGCTGAAACGTTGGCTAGGACGTCATGCAAATCTTACGTTTCCGCTTTATCCGGAAAGGGTTTTGGAGGTGGCAATGCGAGCTTGCGTGAAACCTGAGAAAACTGGTACAAACTTATTCCATCATTGTTGATACGGGCCTGCTGGAATAAATGATGCTGTTTTCATGCAGGACCTAGATGCATATAGGTATCTTGATTTTGAGCATTTTACGCGAATATACAAAGAGTCGTTCAATCAATTCCATAAAGCTGGTGACCTCGTCCCATTTTCGAATGCCTCGTTTCATATTGTCCACCGACGTCCACCGCTTCGTCCCATATTGTTCACCACCCCGTCGCAGACTGTGACGAGGCTCACTAAAATGGGACGATGTCACCAACTTTATAGAGAAGATTGGTAAAATGATCAATGCGGGTTTAATTTTTAAGGCACGCGAGGTGGCAACTATTGATGATCGGTGTCTTCAACGTCTTCGGGGTCTCCAGGTGGCTGGAATTCAGAGAAAATACCTTGGGCTAAGCAATTGTAGTTTGGAAGCCCAAGCATCTCTCTCAGTTCGCTGATGTAAAACGTGAGACGCAGTGGTGTCGATCCATTTAAGCTAACTGGCAACGTCCGCTTAGGCTCGTCTTGATCGCTTTGTTGCTGGATTTGAGCTGCTCTCATTGTATCAATATGCTGAGCTTGATGGAAGATTGCATTGTCAGGAAGTGCAATAGCTGTTTGATCGGGCTGCCGAGCATGGGATAAAGCCCAATGTGTCCGGGCTATCTCGCCTACTTGGACGCCAGGATGCTCGCGGAGATGGCTGTCGATTAAGCGTGAATCTTCTTTCACTCGACTCGCACTTGCACGCCGAATACCGCTCTGCTCCTTTGCAACAAACACGATCAGCTCAATAACAAGAGGTCCAGCTTTAGACCGTCGTTGGTAGTTTGCTTGTACAGTATCGAGATTTGCCAGCCAGTTGCTTGGCGCGATAGGGACCCACTCGCGTTGCGGTGCCTTTAGACCTAGCTTCAGTTAAATGCTCTTATCCAGTCGTATGGTTTGGGTTCGTATGCTTCTAGTGCTAGTACAACTAGTCCTCGACTTTGGAAACAAGCTGGTCGAACTCCTCCATCTGTGCGTCGAAGACGAAGGAGCTGCCTTCAACACGCACATTCGTTCGACTTGTACGGCCAATTTCTCCTACCTTGACTGCGACTTGGATCTGCATGGGTCCCTTCGGGGCTGCATATATGTAAATGCCTTGGTATGCCTACGGACTTCCCGACATTCTGGGGTTTATATATATAAATCTTCCTGACATCCTATAATTAGCAGTGCAATTCGATGCTTGTCCCTCTAAATCATAGGTAAGAAGGCAAGTATATATAACTTTGGTGCCCCAATCTTAATAGCCTGAGTATTTAGAGCCAAAATGGGCAAAAGCAATGACGATCACAATAGTACAAACACTTAAAGTCCCAGCCTTCTATTTTTTAAATATGAACATTGATTCAGTGAGACTTGGAAGGATGCGCAAAACACTTTTGCTATAATCCAGAGCTCCCCGGGCAAAGCACGACATTACTTTAAAATGGAGAGCTGATTCTTATTTACTGGGAGGTAGCTAGCTGCCATGTATTGGGAAGGTCGTCAATTGGGTCAACATTCGTGTAACCTGATAAAAGTGCTCTCAAAATTATGTATTCCACACAGCGAGTTATGGAAAATAAATTCGATTGTTCTGTACACAATCGAATTAATCTAGGGTTGAGTATGGTGACCCGAAACATCCAGAAAAAAAATCAATACTGTCAGCACGCTGTTGATCTTGCGTTCGTGATGACTGTATGGAAAGCCCAAGGCGCTTCTTTAAAACGGGTGCTCCTTTTACTTGAAGGCTGCCCGTATGCACCAGAATGGAGGTTCGAGCATTTATATATTGGGTTATCACGTGTTCCTGATGCAACAAAGCTGAAGTGCTACCTCAACGTTGCACAACGTACCTGGTTAAGTTTTGAGAATATTGTTGCTGCCCAATTTGTGCAGCCGGTAATCTTAAAATTTGCTCCGTTGTTTTGTGTCAACGTGAGGTGCACCCAACGGATCTGTTAATTCAGAGCGCATAAAAATGATGCTCGCTCACTGGTTCCGCTCCAACGTCCAATATACTGTTGTTGGGCACTTTAATGCCGAAAGCTGGCTCCACGCCATTTATTCTACCGATGACATGCGATGGCTGAATCATTTAAGAATCTCCTGAATCGCATTCGAGGTCTAACAGTTTGCAATGTGGAGCCGCAACATCCGCTTGCATCTGAACAAGTCCCGCGAGAGCTCAACGTCTTCTTCTTCGTCCACCGATTCGGTTGTCAGCTCCTGGAGTGATGGCGAGCCTCTCGCACCCCCACTGCCGCTTGCAATCAGCCTACTAGGGTTAATGGCCGACGCGGAAGCTCTCCACGACCGACCAGACTTTGCCACGCTCATCGACATTGCAGAGTCGCCACAACTGCCGCGTTTCCGAGATCTCCAAGCACAATGGAAGCGCGTTGAGCGGTCGTCTACTTTCACGTTGCTCAAGCGCGAAGACGAGATGTTGTCTCTCGCTCGGTTGGATGCAGGCGTCGAAGAAGTGGCCAAAATCTTAGGAGGCACCACCGACCAAATGCACACAGCTACAATGAGGTCACTGTATGGAAACTCGTTCATCTCTGGCTCAGTAGCTTATATTCAGCGACCTCGTCCGTACGAAGAAGACAGTGTGTATCAACAGCTAGCAGTGAAGACTTCCAACTTTGTACATTCCGACATGCTCGGAAAGAACGAGCAGTGGTGCTTTGCAGAGATCTTACGCTGCAAATCCGATGGAGATACCTTCACGTTGACGCAAGGTTCGGTATCTTCACACGAGGCACACTCCCTGCCCGCTCGTTTGGCTCTGAAGGACCGTTCACGGCGTGTAGCACAGCTCCGTGACGTGACTGCAGTACCTGGTAGAACGGATGCCAGGCAGCCATGGTCTCCGCGTCGCTTTCCACGCCATTCACAAGCCTACTTCAAAGCAGACGAAGAAAAGACGGAACGAACTATAACACGCAAAACTGTCGAATCTCGTCTTGCACGCGGCATCTCTCAACTCTCTCGTCGTCGTCGGTTCGGCACATGCCGAAAAATAAATTGGTGCTGCAATTATTGCAATAAGAAAGCACCAATTATCTATTGGAGACTTTCTGGAGAGGAAGATCAATTACTTATTTTCGCTCCCGTTGTAGCACCAATAATCTATTGGGCGGTGTTTAATTGGCCATACATTCTTTGATACTGGTGCCCTCGCTGTGTACCAATTTTGCTGCACCAATAATCTATTTTTTGAGCTGAGGAAGCTCAATAATCTATTTTGGTCTAGTCAGCTCTCTAACCCAATTATTTATTTTCTGCTTTGATTAGCAATAGATAAAAATGCAATATTCGGCATCCCTGCACCCAAGTGTACGCAGACCGCTTAGCTTTTGACGAGCGCAAGCCTCGCTGTACGTGCTGTACGAGAAGGTTCTCGATGTTATTCCCTCGAACGAGGTGCTACCTATGTGGCTACTATGTTTGCGTAACATGCTCGTCATCTGAGAAGATGGAGACGCACAACGCTCGATCATCGTTTGCGACCGATGTCGGGAGAGCGTCACAGCCTGTGACTACGAGCACATGATGACGGTGATTCCTGGTCCAGAGCGAGTTCTACCCGACACTCGTCAACACCAAACGTGCCTCCTCTCTCCAACCTCTTCTACGACATCTGAGTCATCAAGCTACTCGTTTGATAGCTCGGATTCTTCGTCCAGTCAAATGCTGGCAGATCTTTTGGATCAAGTCGAAGACGACGACGAAGACTCTGGACGTCGCCAGGCAGCGTTTACGGTGCTCAACCAACTGATCACCGCCAACCAGGTTGAAACCCAATTCCAGGTCGATAAGAACGCCACGCTCTTACGTAAAGCGAGCGCGTCTCCGCGTTCTCTTCGGGTGGCCAAACAAGCATTGGATGTGTCCGAGTGCCCGAAGGATCTCGAGGCCTGTAAATTGGCCAGCGCCAATTCTCGTCCATACCCCATGATGGCGACCGTGATCAAGAACGACGATAAAGAGTCGAAGGAAGATGATCCAATTGTCTATCCCATTCCCTCGAATGAGGAAGTGCGCATGGCTACCATCGAACATTTGCGTCTTCACGATATCATTAACATCCCGGAGTTAAATGTTATCTGCACACTAGCGGCTGAAATGAATTGTCCACACAGCGTACTAACACTCGTGGAGCGCGAGGTTGTGACTTTAATGGCAACGAACGACCCCGAAAACTGGGACCTCGGTAGTGGCAATCCACGCGAGCACACCTTCTGCCAGCATTTTGTCATGGACTACAAACGCCACGCTGAGGCAGATATGAGGTTCTACCATATCGCGCCTGTGACGATGAAAAGTCTGCGATTCTACGCGGGGTTTCCCGTGTCGGTTCCGTGTGTGTCAAAAGCTCCGAGACAGACCGAAACAGTCGTCGTTGGGGCCCTGTGCTGCCTTGATGCTAAGCCTCATCAGATGACGAGGTCGCACTACTGGAGGCTGATGAAACTTGCGGATGCAGCGTCCAGTATATTGGAAAGGGCTGCAACAGAGTACGGCGCTGACCCCAAGAACTGTCCACTAGGTCGGAATAGCGTTGGAGTCCAACTTTCTACCCCGAGGAGCGAAATCTCTGCAGTTGCGTGCTAAGGCAATTCAATGATGATTTGAGATGGTATGATAGTCGACTCGACTGTCGAGTGTATGTCAATTCCACCGAAAGAACCAGCTTACCTATGGGTCAATACCGGTACATACACGATGTCAAAATATTGTGAGCAATTCGCGTTTCTATTGTTTTAGTAGGGAGTCTACCAGCGAATTATTCTGATACTTCTTAGATAAAAAATATTTTATCCAATTAAATCAGGGTTTGCGCAATTTATCAGCTAATCACGTTTATACCGTCGATCCCTTGAAAGGACCCAAGAAACTAGTCTCAAGCTGGGAAAAAGTCTCGAATGGCTATAAATTTCCCAGCCATTCGATACTAAGTACTCCACAGAGCAGTTTAGAATGACCTACTCAATCGACATGCGCTGGAGAGCCATCGTGCTTATGTACGTATACTCAATCCAAGCAGAGACAGTGGCTAGTGTTCTAGGTATTTCTCAGCGCAGTCTAGGTCGATGGTTCAGACGATTTCGCGCGACCGGAAATGTACTGAAAAGCGAGCCAAGGAACAGGACGTCAAGATGGCCAACCGAGGTGTGTGCGTTTGTGCGTCAGTACGTAAATCAGCATCCATGCTTCTATTTTGAAGAGCTACGGCTCGAGCTACGAGCTCGCTACACTAGCACTATTAGTGTATCAGACTCAACTATTTGTCGAGCCCTCCGATTCGATCTCAACCTCACCAGGAAGGTGCTTACGAAGCGAGCGCGGGAATGTGTACCGAGGGAGCGCCGTGAGTATGTTGCTCGACTCTTACCGTACTATAGCGGTCCAGACCAACTCGTATTCATCGACGAAACTTCGAAAGATGGGAGGTAAAGTATTCTGTTTAATAAAGGTTACTATGCATTTAATCTAATTAGCTTGAGTTTTGTATGTTTAGGTCAGTTCTTCGTCGGTATGGATGGTCGGCAAGAAATACTGCAGCTCACGTTACAATACCTTTCAGTCGTGGAAAGAGAGTGTCAATTTTGGCCGCGATGGATGTGAAGGGCTTTTTTGGGTGGGGAAACGTGGAGGGAACATTTACGCGTTTAGAATTTCATCACGTGTTTAAGGAAAAGATTCTCCCGTTTCTCAATCCATGGCCTTTGCCTCGATCCATTGTAATCATGGACAATGCCAAGATTCATATGTACAAAGAATTGCAAGCTTTGATACACGCTACTGGAGCTCTGCTGTTTTTCCTGCCTCCGTACTCACCAGATTTAAATCCTATTGAGGTTGGCTTCTCGCTTCTCAAACGGTGGATTCAAAGACACGCTAATATGGCATTTCGTGAAGATCCTCTCGCTGTTTTAAAAGTGGCAATGTATAAGTGCACCAAGCAGAAAGACGAAGTCGGAGAGAATTTGTATAGTCATTGTGGGTACATGTCAAACGAGATAGCGATAAAACAGTAGCAAACAGTAAAGGTAACTTGTCCTACTCTACTACTCCATATTTGCATCGGTATCACTCATGTGTTCTTCGTCTTCAATGTTGGTCGCTGGTGCCGGCGTGTCTGTTTGTGTTGGCGCTCTAAACGGAGGTCGTAAGCTATAGCTCGGTAGTCCCAGCGCCTCTCGTAGATCACTTACGCTCACATGTAATGGCACAGGAACACCATGAAGCTTAACGCGCACGACTCGATACTCACCTGCGCTTTGCTGTCGCTGTTGTTCTTCCATTGCACTATTCATTGCTGCTTGCTCGACGTCAATGTGCTGGAGCTGGCGGAATGTAACACTGTCGGGTACTTGTAATGGAGTCCCTTCAGGCAATCTTGCGTGTGTGATGGCCATGTATCGCTCCGTCGCAGGCCCAGCGTCAACCTGCTGCTCTCTCAGAAATGCTGCCACACGTGGCATTTGCTCCTGAATACGGGCAGCACTAGCTCGACGGAGTGACGTCTGAGCTTCAGGCTTGGGTACGTACACAAAAAGCTCCAGCTCAAACCCTGCTTGCCCATTACGCCTCCGTTTCGCCCTGTTCCAGACATCCTTTAATTGTGCAAGAAGGGCCGCTGTGTCTTGGCATGCAATCTCAAACTGTTTTTGCTTGGCGTTATTGCTAGGCTTCAGATAGATGTCGAATTCAGGTCTCCATTGTCCTGGCAGTTTGCTCTCGAAATGTTCTTCGACTTTTGCTCGCAGGATGCTGTACCCATCGGATACCTTGTACAAAAATGCTGGTGACACCGGAACCTTGTCCCGACACGCAGCGAAGGGTTCTCCATTCTTGATGCTGAGACGACAGGACAGTGACTCTGGCAGCGGAATATTCTCCATTTACAGCTCAGGTGTTTGAATTTGATGGTTATTGTAGTTGTGAATCGCTATCCTCCGCTGGTAAACTGCATATAAACACTTCCTTGTCTGTACACTGTACAACAACGTCCTCGTATTTACCGCCCCTCTTATCTTATTCACACCGCTGGTAAACTGCATATAAACACTCCCTTGCCTGTACACTGTACAACCCCGTCCTCGCATTTACCGCCCCTCTTATCTTATTCACACCGCTGGTAAACTGCATATAAACACTCCCTTGCCTGTACACTGTACAACCCCGTCCTCGCATTTACCGCCCCTCTTATCTTATTCACACAACGCGCTGCACTTACCCGTAGAGTGTGAGCTAAACCATAGCAGCCGTCTCGCACTACCTTACCATTCTTATCCATCGGCAACTTGTAACGGTGCCACCGCAGACCACACTACACAACACGCCAACACGCCAAATAATACCATCGAGAGGAATTGAACCTCCACCCCCCGAAACCAGGACTCTACCGTTGAGCTACGTTGGTGCTGAAGCGTAGCTGTGAGCCGTGTTGTGTCTTGGTGGGCGTAGCTTGGTCCGCACGCTGTTTGATCTTGACCCGGTGAAAGCTTGAATGGGAGCCACGTGTGCGACATACAGAGCGTGCCTGTCGCTCATTGACGTATTTCGGCCAATCACATTAGCCTTGAATTAAGATAAATATTACGGCACACCGTTACAGATTAGAAAGCCCTTTTTAGATCAAGACTCCCTTCGGAGCTAGTTATAAAATGCGGCAAAACGACAGAAAGGCACAATACATTCCACCGAAAGAACCAGCTTACCTATGGTTGAATACCGGTACATACACGATGTCAAAATATTGTGAGCAATTCGCGTTTCTATTGTTTTAGGGGAATCCACTAAAACCCGCTCTGGTTTGCTTCGAGACTACAACGAATTACCCCGGTATGACATAAATCACGCTGTTCTAATCCACCAGATCTCAGAACGAGTTAGCCTTACATAAGTGAACCCATAAGCATCAATTAATACGTCGTTAAATGAAGTCGTGAGGCTCTGGTGATGCTCTAAGCGAAGAAAAATACTCGATGAATAATTGAAGCATGCGTAACTTGTTCTTAGATAGTCAAAAATAAATGTGCGTGCTCCTCCTGTAACACACGCACCTACGCAATTTAATTCTCTTATGTTTTCTAAGCGAGTAATGGATAACAAGCTTCATTTATCCTGCTATTGGACCTTAGAGGACGCTGTCTTTATTTTACAACTGCAGGAAGACGTTTGATGTCCTAACTACTAGTACTATAGTTGTAATTCTGGCGAAATGGCTTCAACTCTTCAGGCAATCTCGTCGTTCTGATCGCTGACAGCTGTTGTAGCTCCAAGTAAACCGCATTAGAAATAACGATACCTGAAGTATACGTTTATAAAGTCAGGGTTTAAATCTGGGATATATACGCTGTATAGCAGTTTATTTCGACTGACACTTTGAAATGCATTAGCTTCAAAATTTATGAATCGAGTTTACAGGTTGTTCTACAGTCTTCGGGGCATCGAAGAATAGACGCTCGAAAACAACGGCTCGTTTGCAGTCTCACCCACCTACCTTTCGACTCGTAAGGTGAACTCGCTCGTAAGTTACGAGCGAGTCCATCTTGTCAGTTAGTTGTACGGATTGGGCAATGTGTAATCCGAACACTAAGACATCGCTTTTCAGCGGGAATGACCTCACTCTCGTCGAGCTCGATGGATGGTGGCGCTACAAGGTGCATCTCTCGATTCTAGCGCTGATCTTGATCAACGACAAAAGCATTCACCAATTTACCTGGTAAGACGCAAAGGAGTCCGAGATCATTATGCCGAGCGTACGTTTGAACGTAGACAAGCGAGTCGAAAGCTCGACACCATTTTTCGCGACTGCCATGTCGGAACCAAGCTCGTGGAATGATGAGGAACCCCCTGCTCCCCCACTCTCATTGTCCATTGCGCTACGAGGCCTGATGGCCGATGCTGAGGCGCTCCACGACGGAGTGGACTTCGCTAGCTTCGTCGACATCGCCGAGCCGCAACACCTGTCGTTCTTCCGCAGTGACCAAGCGCGATGGAAGCGCGTCGAACGGTCGTCGGCCTTCACTCTGTTAAAACGCAGTGACGAGGTCCTGGCGCAAGCTCGAATGGACGCAAGTGTCGAGGAGGTGGCGAGAGTCTTAGGAGCCACAACCGACCAGCTACACGCAGCTACGATGGAAGGACTCTACGACAACGCATTCATCGCCGGCTCTGTAGCTTACGTCGAGCGTCCACAGGCCGACGAGAGCGACCAGGCGCTCCAGCAATTGGCGGTGAAGACGTCGAACTTCGTGCACTCCAAGATCCTGGGCAAGAACGAGCAATGGTGTTTCGGTGAGACTGTGCGGGGCACACCGGACGGCGACAGCTTTACGATCACGCAAAGCTCGCTAGAAGCTCAACAATCTCAGTCTCTGCCAGCTCGTCAGGCGCTGAAAGCTACCAAGCGACGTGTTGCGCAGCTTCGTGACGTGAGCACAGCGTATATGGTGGAGCGCACGCCAGAAACGCGACGCCTGCGTATCACTTTCCACGCCCTGTACAAGCCCGACGGTACCACCTTCGACGACGGGCCAGTCGTAGCACGCAGAGCCGCTCGCGCGCGTCTGTTACGCCTCGCACGCGGCACTTCGGAGCTTTCCCAGGTCGTCCGTCGACGTCGATTTGGAGTCCAAGTGTTCGCAGATCACTCGGCGTTTCACGCTCCGAACCCTCGATGCACGTGCTGCACGCGCAAGTTCACGCCCATCATCAACCTCATTTCGAGGACGCGATGCTACCTGTGTGGATACCACGTGTGCTTGTCCTGTTCGTCATCCGAGAAGATGGAGACGTACAACGGTCGCGTGGCCACGATCGCGGTCTGCGTTCGCTGTGTCAAGAGCGTCATCGCCTGCAACTACGACCACATGCTGAGTGTCCGACCGGGACCCGAACGGGTGCTGCCCGATGAAGTGTCGACGCCATCTTCCGTCTGTACGTTCGACACTTCCAGCACGGCCGCGTCCGAGTCCTCGTGCTTCTCCGACTCGCCGTCGAGCCAAAAACTCGGAGACCTACTGACCCAAGTCGTGTGTGACGACTCGGATCAAGTCACGCTTGCACAGCGTCGTGCTGCCTTCCTGGTGCTCGAGCAACTTCTGCTAATTGACCAAAAACAAGACCAGAGCCAAACTGACATGAATGCCAATCTTCTCAACGCTGCGAGTGACCGTCAACAGCCAACCGAAGCAGCCAAGCGAGCGATGGACATCTCGAAACGTCCGACGGAGCTGGACGCCTGCAAGTTCGCGAGTGCCGACTCCCGTCCGTATCCGATGATGCCGGCTCTTGTCCAGAACGAAGAAGAGTCAAAGGAGGGGGAGCCAGAGCCGATCATCTACCCCATTCCAGCGAACGAGGAGGTTCGCATGGCCGCGATTGAGAATTTCCGCCTCCACGACGTCGCCAATGTCTCTGAACTCAACGTGATCTGCTCACTGGCTGCGGCAGAAATGAAGGCCCCTCACAGCGTCGTCACACTCGTTGAACGTGATGTGGTGACTCTGCTGGCGACCAACGCACCGGAATACTGGGACGTCGGTACCGGTAATCCGCGCGAGCAAACATTCTGTCAGCACTTTGTCATGGACGATAAGCCGTTGCTCGTCCGTCACGCTGAGGCGGATATGCGGTTCTACCACATCGCGCCCGTGACGATGCGCAGTCTTCGGTTCTACGCTGGTTTCCCCGTGTCGATCCCGTGTGTGCCAAGAGCTCCGGGACAGCCTGAGAGAGTCGTCATTGGCGCCTTGTGTTGTCTTGATGAAAAGCCCCACGAGATGACGAGGTCGCAGTACTGGAAGCTCATGAAACTTGCGGAAGCAGCCTCCGCCATCCTGGAGAAGACTGCGACAGAATACATCGCTGACCCTGAGAATCACCCACTCGGACAACAAAGAACCGGAGTCCTAAAGCCTAAGGGCAATGGCACGGGAATGGTTACTTGCTAACCGCCACATCGAGGTCCAGTGATGGATGGTGCAGAAGTGCATTGTTTTTTTTTGTTAATGATTTGAATCAATTAACGTACGAAATCATTCTAGAAAATGTGCACGCAACATTGGAAAACCGAAGGATATTCGGTGTTATTACTGTTCTAGAATAGAAAGGCAGCAATTGCAAAAACAATTGCGTCGCTGTGACATTATATAAAATCTTTCGTAAGCAAGATTTCAAAATAATGAACAGCACCGGAGGGTGCTACATGTAGTGACGTAAGGTCTAGTATTGTAACTATCGGCGATTGCTTATCTTAATATTTGTAATGATATCTTGATATTTGCGAATATGAATAAAAAGAGTTACTATTAATATGCTTGCTCCTCTAGCTTTGACAACTCATTAAAATAGTAAGAGTAATTATAATGACTGATACTCGATAGTATATATACAGGGCTCCCGATAATGGCATTAATCGCAATCAAATTTCGAGGGTCCCATACATTATGCATTTGAATCTATGAAACCCGTCCACGCATTATGGCCATTAATGGAAACCACATATGAGACTGCGTCAAACAAAATGTTACTTATGAACCTTTGAGATAATCGAGCTTAAAGCTGGCCAATTGATTTTCGCACTTGACCGAAACAGTGACATTTATTGTAAACTTCCATCGAAAAAACTGTAAAACTACCCTTATTTAATTTCTTTTAACAAGAGCTTTTAAATAACACCTAAATCATTAAAATTGAAAAAATATTGAGCTCACAACACTCCTAAATGTATCGTCATTTCAAGGGCCCATAAATGATGATAATATTTTTGAGCGACCACAACTTCTTCAATTTTAAGCATTCTGCAGCTTATAAGGGCTCAAAAGATAGAGGAGACACCCCGCTTTCGTTTAGAGTGCTTAAATCGCGATTCGTACTTAGGTTCATAAGTAATATGTTGATTGACGCGGTCTCATATGTGACGGCCTTTACATACAAAAACTAGTTTTAAAGTGTGAAGACATAATTTTTCTTCCCATACATTATGCGCGCTCTTAAAAAAAAGTACATTAACCCCTGCAACCCGGAGCGATTTTTGCTTTTTCTAAATTGCATATGCAACTTACCATGATTTGATGTTTGTAAATAAAGGGTTGGACCACTGGCGGGAAACGGGGTAAAGTCAGTCGTGAATGGGTATGGACCAGACTAAAGTGTCCATAAGGTGCATATTGGGAGCTGGACAGTCTGCATAATGCAGCATTACAGGACCGGTAGTAGACAGACGCTGTACAGATACGAGCCATCCGCATCGGTCTGTGCATTTGGTAGAGTTTTCATTTTTAGAAATTTTGAGGTGAAAACCTCCCATACAAAGTGTCATTGTGTCCGATGGGGGGTCACCCACAGAAAGTAACGCTATCAGATGATGCGGTGCTGGCAGCTCGAGGTACGTTTACTCAAATAAAGTGAAAAGATCAGCTGACAAAAGCGTCAGATGGATTAGGCACAGTGTCAGATGAGCCAGCAATACCTTGTGCGGGACGCAATCATCCTGATTTCTTAGACTGCATATATTCTGCTCAAAGTTTTTTATTTAAGTAACACCAAGCACAGCAATGCAGTTTGCCAGCTAACTGTCTGTCCTACGTCGCTTTCCTCTACTAGCCGGATCCAGTGGTGTGAAAGGCGTGACAGGCTTTCCAGGCGTTGACGGAGCTCCAGTCGACGTGTCTGCAGCCCGACTGCAGCGGGGCTGCCGTAGCTTTAGCGTCAGAGGAGGACGTTCGACTCAAAGAGTCACTGATACTAAGTTCCTTATCCAAAGGACACTTACAGCCCAAGACCAGGGCTCAAAGTTAACACCTTAACTTTTATGCTTCAAAACCAGAAGTCTTTTATTTACTATTATTGCGGCCAAGCCGCCTAGGGGTAAATGTATCTCTTTAACTATCTAGCATAGTTAAACCTAATCAAATGCATAACGTGTGGCTTTCAGCCAACGTACTGAGAGACCTTGTTAACTCTCCAACTTATGTACTGAGAGTTTGTTAACTCTCCGGGTACTTCGTACCCCTGTGTGTTCCACACCATGTAACCCCGTTACACTCTCCCTCACTAAGATGAGAACATACCGTTCTCGAACTTTCCTCAGCGAGGTCACGTCTTGTCAAGACGACGGAGGTCACTAGACCTCACCTCTGCGTTCTGCAGCTCCACGAGCTCACAAACGCGTTCGCATCCTTGATGCCTGGCACTTCCACTCCGGCCCACGGACCAACGTCTCCAGCGCGTCGCGCCGCCCCTGCCTCGTCGGTGCCAGACCCCCAACTGCGCTGCGCAACTGCTCCAAGAGCATCTTCGTCTCTTTCGGTGGCACAGTACCACCAAGAGTATCGCCGTCGCCACGGTCAACGCTCCATGAGCCGTCAACAAGAAGAGAGCAAAGCTCAGAGCTCGTCAGAGCCGCGGGCGCCGCCCCAGAGGGAACGATGTTCTGTTCTCGGAACTCGAAGAGGGCGAGGTCGATTACGACGAGCCCATGGGTAGTGAGGATCACTCCAACCCAACCTCTCCGAGGTCGCACACTGGTGCCGCGTCTTCCCCAGCTTCTTCTGTGAGGTCTAGCCGCTCAACGGCGCAATCTCAAACAAGAAGAGACCTGCGGACACGCATCCGTTCTCTGAACGTTCGAATCCGATTCGCTCGCTGCGCGATGCGCCACCGCTATCGTCGCGGTATGACGAGGAAGATCAATACGATCACAACGTCATTACGAATGACGTGGACGAGGCCCAAGGCCGTCAGTTGTCCAATGAGCAGCGCTCGCAGTCGTTCCGACCTGTGGTCCGACCACTTGTTCTAACGTCACGCCGTGACTACGGCTTCCAGCCGCGGAACCCTGCCGAAGCGGCCCGCCTCGCGGCGCAGCAGCCGCTGAACACGTACACGTGTGGGCCTGCGGCCTCGACTGCTGATGAGCAAGTGCAACGGCACCGGCTCCGAGAGCGATATCTGACTCCACAAGTCACAACTCCTCAGGAGTACCAGGCGCGCCTGCATATGCAGCTCAACCGCCAACCGGTTCCCTCCATGCGAACCATTCCGGTTGTTCTCAACCCTGGGGAATCCCAGCGTGCTTATGAAGCACAATTCCGAAGCTGGGTGGAGGGAGATCGACGGCTCTCCTCCTACAATGCTCTTCGAGCAAGTTTCTCTGAAACTGATATTCGTCTTGAGAGACGTTTGCGCTTAGACTTCGCTAAGTCGAAAGCACGTCGACGGACACTGGGACCCCGTCCCCATCACCTCAAGGCGTCACCACCTCTTGCTCATGCTGCGAGCACCGCTCATTCCTATGAGCCGGCTGCTCCAGCCACTGGTCGGAGCTTGAGCTCAGCCACCGACCTGTCATCCCCGCGTTCTAGCGGCGGAAAGCGCTCGGCGCCTGACGACGCGGTCGTACGCCGTAGCGGCGGGGCAGTGAGTGTGCCCGATCAAAAGCGTCGACGACGTCAGGGCAGTCCTGCCGGAGGACAGCCTCAAACTCCCAAGAGTTTTGTGAGTGAGGATAACCCCTCCATTTCACAAGGTACTGAGTACGACCCTGGCGCATGCGCCTCGCCATCAGGCGTTCCACATGGAAGTGGAGCTCGCCGTGCTCATCGAGCAGAGCAGGAGGAGGCCGAGTCTCAGCTGGACTCTCGCGTCGCGAGTCGCAGCGACGTGTTCGCGCTGGAGCAGCGTGTGGGTTCCCTGAACCGGTATCTCCATGATACGACTGACTCTCTGAGTCGCCTTGCAGATGGTCTCGATGAGACGAACCACCGCGTGGACTGGTTTGAACAACCACAGTCGGTTCAGAACCGAGTCGCGGACCTTGAGCGTCAAGTCGCTCAGCTGCAAGGTCAGATCGACTTGCTGTTGCGTCTTGTGGCCCCGCCACCTGTTGTCGCTCAGCCCGCCGTGGTTCGGCCTCCCGCTGTTGTGCAGCCTGTCGTGGCCCAGCCACCGTTGGCGCCAACGCCTCCGCGCTCACCTGAGCAGGGTTCTGATACGGCTTGAGTAAGCCAACGTAGAAAACTGGATGCGTGCGCATCTTCTTCGGAAGGCTAAGCGTATACGCTAGGCCCTTCTTGGCCACGACCTTGAACGGCCCTATGAACCCGTGGTCTCAATTTTGTCCTTAAAGACTGCAGACACTGCATGAGTAGGTAGGTTTTTGGCATTTAATAAAACTAGGTCTCCGACCTCAAACCTTTCTCCATGCGTCTGCCTTTGGCATCTGCATGTTCTTTTTGCATGTCTTGGCTTTCAGCCATAGCGTCGCGTACTTGACGCATTACGCTTAGTCTCAAAGAGACAAAGTCATCGACTTGCTTGCGAACCGCAACAGGGCTGACATCAGCTAGCCGCTCGGCTATCCCTCCCCCATCAAGCCCTGAGCCACTGCGTGGCGGCGTCAATGGGACGCGAGGGTTAACCAAGCCGTTCACATAGAACGGAGTGTAGCCTGTCGAGGCGTGCACTGCATTATTTAATGCGAACTCAACGAGTGGGAGCATCTGGCTCCAGCGTTTTAGCGCCTCAGCGCATACGCTTCGGAGGATATCCTCCACAACGCGATTCACGCGTTCGGTTTGACCATCGGTCTGCGGATGGTCCGCTGTGGACATGTCCAACCGAGTGCCAAGCACTCTGAAGAGGGACGTCCAGAACTTCGCGGTGAAGCGCGGGTCTCGATCCGAGACAATTGCCTCAGGCAAGCCATGTTGGCGAAAGACTCGGTCTAAAAACAGCAAAGCTGTACCTTCACCATCTATGGTGTCCGGCACCGCCGCTAAATGAGCCATCTTGCTCAATCGGTCTACAAAGACCACAATACCCGTGCTTCCTGTCTTGTCCTTGGGAAGGCCAAACACAAAGTCCATACTCATGGACTGCCAACATCTCTTGGGGACAGGCAAACTCGCCAATGGCGCTGCCGTGCTCGGCGCGGACTTCGTCCGTTGACACGTCTCACACGTGCGTACATAGGTGCCGACCCACTTATACATTTTGGGCCACCAGTACATCGTGCTCACCGAGCCGTAGGTCTTCTCCCGACCTAA